GAGTAGACAGGGAAGTCCACTCTCACCATGTTGTTTAACATAGTGTTGGAAGTTCTAGCCTCAGCAATCAGACAACAATATGAAATAAAAAGTATCCAAATTGGCAAAGAAGAAGTCAAACTTTTACTTTCACAGATTACATGATACTCTACATGGAAAACCTGAAAGACTTCACCAAAAAGCTGCTAACTGATACATGAATTCAGCAAAGTCGCAAGGTACAAAATCAATGTACAGAAATTGACTGCATTTCTATACACCAATAATGAAGCAACAGAAAGAGAAATCAAGAAATTGATCCCATTTACAATTGCACCTAGAATCATAAAATACCTAGGAATAAACTTAACCAAAGATGTCAAAGATCTGTATGCTGAAAACTATAGAAAACTTATGAAAGAAATTGAAGAAGTTACAAAGAAATGGCAAAACATTCCATGCTCATGTATTGGAAGAACAAATATTGTTAAAATGTCAATACTACCCAAAGCAATCTACACATTGAATGCGATCCCAACCAAAATTGCACCATCATTCTTCTCAGAGCTAGAACAAACAATCCCAAAATTTGTATTGAACCACAAAAGACCTCAGATAGCCAAAATAATGTTGAAAAAGAAAAGCAAAGTGGGATGCATCACAGCCCAGGACTTTAGCCTCTATACAAAGCTATAATCATCAAGACAGTATGGTACTAGCACAAAAACAGACACACAGACCAATGGAATTGAATAGAGAACCCAGAATTGGACCCATAAATGTATGGCCAACTAATCTTTGATAAAGCAGGAAAGAGGATCCAATAGAAAAAAGACAGTCTCTTTAGCAAAAGGTACTGGGAGAACTGGACAACAACATGCAGAAGAATGAAACTAGACCACTTTCTCACACCATACACAAAAATAAACTCAAAATGGATGAAAGACCTAAATATGAGACAGGACACCATCAAAACCCTAGAGGAGAAAACAGGCAACAACCTCTTTGACCTCAGCTGCAGCAACTTCTTACTCAACATATCTCTGAAGGCAAGGGAAATAAAAGCAAAAATGAACTATTAGGACCTCATCAAGATAAAAACCTTCTGCACAGTGAAGGAAATAGTCAGCAAAACTTAAAGGCAACCGACAGAATGGGGGAAGGAATTTGCAAATGACATATTGGATAAAGGGTTGGTATCCAAAATCTACAAGGATCTTACCAAGCTCAACACCCTAAAAACAAATAATCCAGTGAAGAAAGACAGGGCAGAAGACATGAATATACCCTTTTCCAAAGAAGACATCCAGATGGCCAACAGACACATGAAAAGATGCTCAACATCACTAATCATCAGGGAAATACAAATCAAAACCACACTGATATACCACCTCACACCGGTCAGAGTGGTTAAAATTAACAACTCAGGAAACAACATATGTTGGCAAGGATGTGGAGAAACAGGAACCCTCTTGCACCGTTAGTGGGAATGCAAACTGGTGCAGCCACTCTAGAAAACAGTGTGGAGCTTCCTCAAAAAATTAAAACTAGAACTACCCGACGACTCAGCAATATCACTACTAGGAATTTATCCAAAGGATACAGGAGTGCTGATTCATAGGGACACATGTACCTCAATGTTTATAGCAGCACTATCAACAATAGCCAAATTATGGAAAGAGCCTAACTGTCCATCAACTGATGAATGGCTAAAGAAGATGTGGTTTATATATACAATGGAATACTACTTGGCAATGAGAAAGATTGAAATCTTGCCATTTTGCAACAACATGAATGGAACTGGAGGGTATTATGCTAAGTGAAACGAGTCAGTCAGAGAAAGATACCATATTTTCACTCACATGTGGAATTTGAGAAACTTAACAGAAGACCATGACAGAAGAGAAGGGGAAAAATAGTTTCAAACACAGAGGGAAGCAAACCATAGAGACACTTAGAGAACAAACTGAGGTTTGATGGGGGCAGGGGAGATGGAGAAATGGGTGATGGGCATTGAGGAGGGCACTTGTAGGGATGAGCACTGGGTGTTGTATGTAAGCGATGAATCATGAGAATCTACTCCCAAAGCCAAGAACACACTGTATACACTGTATGTTAGCTAACTTGACAATAAATTATATTTTTAAAAACTAAAAATTAAAAAAAAGAATGAAGGTGTTACCCAGGAAGTTATAGAAAAAATAAAAAATACATGGAAGCAAATGAAAATGAAAACACAACAATCCAAAACCTTTGGGATGCAAAGGCAGTACTAAGAGGAAAGTATATTGCAATTCAGGCCTGTCTCAGGAAGTTTCAGGTCTCAAATACACAACCTAATCTTACACCTAAAGGAGCTAGAAGAGGAACAGCAAGTAAAGGGTAATGCCAGCAAAAGAGAAATAATAAAGACTAGAGAAGAAATAAATGATACAGAAACAAAAAAAAAAAAGTAGAACAGATCAAGAGATCAAGAGATCTAAGAGCTGATTCTTTGAAAGAATTAACAAAATTGATAAGCCCCTAGCCAGACTTATCAAATAGAAAAGAGAAAGGATCCAAATGGATAAAATCACAAATGAAAGAGGAGATATCACAACTAACACGCAATACAGAAATACCAATACAAACCACAAAAATACAAACAATTGTTAAGAGAATATTATGAAAACTATATGACAACAAATTGGACAACCTGAAAGAAATGGACAAATTCCTAGAGACTCATACACTACCAAAAGTGAAACAGGAAGAAATAGAAAACTTGAACAGGCCCATAACCAGCAAAGAAATTAAATCAGTTATCACAAATCTCCCAACAAACAAGAGTCCTGGGCCAGATGGCCTCCCAGGAGGAATTCTACCAAACATTTAAAAAAGACATAATACATATTCTTCTCAAACTGTTCCAAAAAATAGAAATAGATGGAAAACGTCCAAACTCATTCTACGAAGCCAGTATTACCTTGATTCCAAAACCAGACAATGACCCCACTAAAAAGGAGAATTACAGGCTATTATCCCTGATGAACATGGATACAAAAATTCTCAATAAGATATTAGAAAATTGAATTAAACAGTGTATTAAAATAATTATTCACCATGATCAAGTGGGACTTATTCCTGGGGCTGAATATTCACAGATCAATCAATGTGATATATCACATTAATAAAAGAAAGGATAAGAACCATAGGATCCTGTCAATAGATGCAGAAAAAGCATTTGACAAAATACAGCAACTATTCTTGATAAAAAAACCTTCAACAAAGTAGGGATAGATGGAACATACCTCAACATCATAAAGGCCATATACAAAAGACCACAGTTAATATCATCCTCAGTGGGGAAAAAACTGAGGGCCTTTCCCCCACAGGCAGGAACAAGACAAAGATGTCTACACTCACCATTACTATTTAACATACTACTGGAAGTCTTAGCCTCAGCAATCAGACAATAAAAAGAAATCAAATGCATCCAAATCAGCAAGGAAGAAGTCAAATTTTCACTATTTGAGATAACATGATACTCTATGTAGAAAACCCAAAAGACTCCACCAAAAATTTGCTAGAACTAATATTGCATATGAATTCAGGAAAGCCGCAGGATATAAAATCAGTGTGTAAAAATCTGTTGCATTTCTATACATCAATAACAAAACAGCAAAAAAATAAATCAAGGAATTGATCCCATTTTCAACTGCACCAAAAACAGTAAGATACCTAGGAACAAACCTAACTAAAGACGTAAAAGATCTATACTCTGAAAACTGTAGAAGACTTATAAAAGAAATTGACAAGGACACAAAGAAATGGAAAAGCACCCACAAACGTGTGACCAACTAATCTGTGACAAAGCAGGAAAGAATATCCAATGGAAGAAAGACAGTGTCTTCAGCAAGTGATACTGGGAAAACTGGAGAGCAACATGCAGAAAAATGAACCTGGACCACTTCCTTACACCATACATAAAGATAAACTCAAGATGGATGAAAGACCTAAATGTAAGACAAGAAGCCATCAAAACCCTAGAGGAGAAAGCAGGCAAAAACCTCTTTGATTTTGGCCTCAGCAACTTCTTACTCAACACGTCTCTGGAAGCAAGGGAAACAAAAGCAAACATGAACTATTAGGACCTCATCAAAATAAAAACCTTCTGCACAGCAAAGGAGACAATCAGAAAAACTAAAAGGCCACCAACAGAATGGGAGAAGATATTTATAAACGACATATCAGATAAAGGGTTAGTATCCAAAATCTATAAAGAACTTATCAAACTCCACACCCAAAAAACAAATAATCCAGTGAAGAAATGGGCAAAAGACATGAATCGACACTTTTCCAAAGAAAACATCCAGATGGCCAACTGACACATGAAAAAATGTTCAACATCACTCATTATCAGGGAAATACAAATCAAAACCACAATAAGACACCACCTTACACCTGTCAGAATGGCTTACATTAACAACTCAGGCAACAACAGATGTTGGTGAGGATGCAGAGAAAGAGGATCTCTTTTGCACTGCTGGTGGGAATACAAACTGGTGCAGCCACTCTGGAAAACAGTATGAAGTTTCCTCAAAAAATTAAAAATAGAACTACCATATGACCCAGCACTGCACTACTAGATATTTATCCAAGGGATACAAGTATGCTGCCTCAAAGGGGCACATGCATCCCAATATTTATAGCAGCACTATCAACAATAGCCAAAGTATGGAAAGAGCCCAAATATCCATCGATGGATGAATGGATAAAGAAGATGTGGTATATATACACAATGGAATATTACTCGACAATCAAAAGGAATGAAATCTTGCCATTTGCAACTACGTGGATAGAACTAGAAGGTATTATGCTAAGCAAAATTAGTCAGAGAAAGACATATATCATATGACTTCAGTCATATGAGGACTTTTAGATACAAAACAGATGAACATAAGGGAAGGAAAGCAAAATAATATAAAAACAGGGAGGGGGACAAAAACATAAGAGACTCTCAAATATGGAGAACAAACAGAGGGTTACTGGAGGGGTGTGGGAGGGGGGATGGGCTAAATGGGTAAGGAGCATTAAGGAATCTACTCCTGAAATCATTGTTGCACTATATGCTAACTAACTTAGATGTAAATTAAAAAAATAAATTAAAAATTAAGGAAAAAAAAAGAAAATTAGTCTTCCCAATATTCACCTAGGAAAAATAATTGTAGGAAAAATCACAAGATGGCAAATTTAATATAAAGACTTATCTTATTGCATCAACCAGAATAAAATGTATATGTATACAAATATATATGTGTGTGTGTGTATCACAATGTATAGATATATCTATATAAGTATATTAGTATGTACATGTCATAGACGTCTATATATGTATGTATATATACATATTAATATGAACATATGCAGAAAAAATAGAGAATTGCTTGCATGTGTGGTAAAGAATAGAAAAGCATTCATACTCATGGATTGGAGGAACAAATATTGCTAAAATGTTGATACTACCCAAGGCAATCTACACATTTAATGCAATCTCTATCAAAATACCAACAGCATTTTTCACAGAGCTAGAACAAACAATCCTAAAATTTGTATGGAATCACAAAAGAACCTGAATGGCCAAAGAAATCTTGAAAAAGAAAAACAAAACTGGAGACATCACAATTCTGGATTTCAAGCTATATTACAAAGCTGTAAAAATGAAGACAGTATGGTACCAGCACAAAAAGAGACACATAGATCGATGCAGCAGAACAGAGAACCCAGAAATGGACCCACAAATGTATGGTCAACTAGTCTTCGACAAAGCAGGCAAGAGTATCCAGTGGGAAAAAGACAGTCTCTTCAGCAAATGGTGCTGGGAAAACTGGACAGTGATATTCAGAAGATTGAAACTGGACCACTTACTAACACCATACACAAAAATAAAATCAAAATAGATGAAAGACCCAGCAACAGCACTGCTAGGAATTTACCCAAGGGCTACAGGAATGCTGATGCATAGGGGCACAGGTACCCCAATGTTTATAGCAGCACTTTCAACAATAGCCAAATTATGGAAGGAGCCTAAATGTCCATAAACTGACGAATGGATAAAGAAATTGTGATTTATATATACAATGGAATACTACTTGGCAATGAGAAAGAATGAAATATGGCCATTCATAGCAACATGGATGGAACTGGAGGGTATTATGCTAAGTGAAGTAAGTCAGTCAGACAAAGACAGATACCATATGTTTTCACTCATATGTGGATCTTGAGAAACTTAACAGAAGACCATGGGGGAGGGAACGGGGGAAAATAGTTACAAACAGAGACGGAGGGAGGCAAACCATAAAAGACTCTTAAACACAGAGAACAAACTGAGGGTTGATGTGGGAGAGGGGAAAGTGGGTGATGGGCAATGAGGAGAACACTTGTTGGGATGAGAACTGGGTATTGTATGGAAACCGATTTGACAATAAATTATATTATAAAAAAAAGATGAAAGACCTAAATGTGACACAGGAAACCATCAAATCCTAGATCTATATCAAATCCAAATCTATAAAGAACTTGTCCCCATTTCTTAACTGGTTTTTTTTTTGGGGGGGGGTGTTGAGTTGGATTAAGTTCTTTTTTTTTTTATATGAAATTTATTGTCAAATTGGTTTCCATACAACACCCAGTGCTCATCCCAAAAGGTGCCCTCCTCAATACCCATCACCCACCCTCTCCTCCCTCCCACCCCCCATCAACCCTCAGTTTGCTCTCAGTTCTCAACAGTCTCTTATGCTTTGGCTCTCTCCCACTCTAACCTCTTTTTTTTTTTTCTTCTCCTCCCCCATGGGTTTCTGTTAAGTTTCTCAAGAGCCACATAAGAGTGAAACCATATGGTATCTGTCTTTCCCTGTATGACTTATTTCACTTAGCATCGCACTCTCCAGTTCCATCCACGTTGCTACAAAAGGCCATAGTTCATTTTTTCTCATTGCCACGTAGTATTCCATTGTGTATATAAACCACAATTTCTTTATCCATTCATCAGTTGATGGACATTTAGGCTCTTTCCATAGTTTGGCTATTGTTGAGAGTGCTGCTATGAACATTGGGGTACAAGTGCCCCTATGCATCAGTACTCCTGTGTCCCTTGGATAAATTCCTAGCAGTGCTATTGCTGGGTCATAGGGTAGGTCTATTTTTAATTTTTTGAGGAACCTCCACACTGCTTTCCAGAGCGGCTGCACCAATTTGCATTCCCACCAACCGTGCAAGAGGGTTCCCGTTTCTCCACATCCTCTCCAGCATCTATAATCTCCTGATTTGTTCATTTTGGCCACTCTGTCTGGCGTGAGGTGATATCTGAGTGTGGTTTTGATTTGTATTTCCCTGATAAGGAGCGACGCTGAACATCTTTTCATGTGCCTATTGGCCATCTGGATGTCTTCTTTAGAGAAGTGTCTATTCATGTTTTCTGCCCATTTCTTCACTGGGTTATTTGCTTTTCGGGTGTGGAGTTTGGTGAGCTCTTTATAGATTTTGGATACTAGCCCTTTGTCCGATACGTCATTTGCAAATATCTTTTCCCATTCCGTTGGTTGCCTTTTCGTTTTGTTGGTTGTTTCCTTTGCTGTGCAGAAGCTTTTTATCTTCATAAGGTCCCAGTAATTCACTTTTGCTTTTAATTCCCTTGCCTTTGGGGATGTGTCGAGTAAGAGATTGCTACGGCTGAGGTCAGAGAGGTCTTTTCCTGCTTTCTCCTCTAAGGTTTTGATGGTTTCCTGTCTCACATTCAGGTCCTTTATCCATTTTGAGTGTATTTTTGTGAATGGTGTGAGAAAGTGGTCTAGTTTCAACCTTCTGCATGTTGCTGTCCAGTTCTCCCAGCACCATTTGTTAAAGAGACTGTCTTTTTTCCATTGGATGTTCTTTCCTGCTTTGTCAAAGATGAGTTGGCCATACGTTTGTGGGTCTAGTTCTGGGGTTTCTATTCTATTCCATTGGTCTATGTGTCTGTTTTTGTGCCAGGATTAAGTTCTTTATAGATTTTGGATACTAATTCTTGATCTGATATGTCATTTGCAAATATCTTCTCCCATTCTGTAGGTTGCCTTTTAGTTTTGTTGATCGTTTCCTTTGCTGTGCTTTTTATCTTGATGAGGTCCCAATAGTTCACGTTTGCTTTTATTTCACTTGCCTCTAGAGACGTGTCAAGTAAAAAGTTGCTGCGGCAAAGGTCAAAGAGGTCGCTGCCCGTTTTCTCCTGTACAATGGAATACTACTCAGCAATGAAAAAGAATGAAATCTTGCCATTTGCAACAACATGGATGAAACTGGAGGGTATTGTGATAAGTGAAATAGGTCTGAGAAAGACAGATATCATATATTTCACTCATATGTGAATTTGAGAAACGCAACAGATGAAAATAGAGGAAGGGAAGGAAAAATAAGATAAAAACAGAAAGTGAGGCAAACCATTAGAAATTCTTAAATACAGAGAACAAACTGAGGGTTGATGTATGGAATGCAGGTGGGATGGTGTTAAATGAGTGATGGGCACTAAGGAGCACACATTTTGGGATGAGCACTGGGCGTCACACATAAGAGATGAACCACTGGATTCTACTTGTGAAGCCAACTACACTGTATGTTAACTAACTTGGATTTAAACAAACAAACTTAAAAAAAGAAAGAAAGAAAGAAATGGGCAGAAGACATGAAAAGACACTTTTCCAAAGAAGACATCCAGATGGCTAACACATAAAGATATGCTCAATATCATTCATCATCAGGGAAATACAAATCAAAACCATGATGAGATACCACCTCACACTGGTCAGAATGGCTAAAATTAATAATACAAGAAGCAACAGGCGTCAGCAGGCATGTGGAGAAATGGGAATGCTCTTGCACTGTTGGTAGGAATGCAAACTGGTGCAGCCACTCTGGAGAACAGTATGGAGGTTCCTTAAAAAGCTAAAAATAGAACTACCCTGTAATCCAGCAATTGCACTACTATGTATTAACCCAAAGGATACAAAATACAGATTCAAGGGGGGTACATGCTATATACATATATATATATACACCCCAATGTTTATAGCAGCATTATCAATAATAGGTAACTGTACTATGGCGAGGGCCCAAATGTCCATTGACTGATGAATGGGTAAAGAAGATGTGGTATATATATGCAATGGAATAGTACTCAGCCACCTAAAAGAATGAAATCTTGCCATTTGCAATGACATGGATGGAGTTAGAGCGTATTATGTCAAGCAAAATAAGTCAATCAGAGAAAGACAAATACCATATGATTTCATTCATATGTGGAATTTAAGAAACAACACAGATGAACATATGGGAAAGGGGGAGCAAGAGAAGAGAGGGAAACAAACCACAAGAGACTCTTAATGATAAAGAACAAACTATGTGTTGATGGAGGGAGGTGGATGGGAGTTTGGCTAGACAGGTGATGGGTATGAAGGAGGGCGCCTGTTGTAATGAGCACTGGGTGTTGTATGTAAGTGATGGATCACTGAATCCTACTCCTGAAACCAATATTGCACTGTATGTTAACTAAAAATTCTTTTAAGGGAAAAAAAATACCATAACCATAATCACCCTTTAATGTTTTCATGTATATTCTCTCAGACTTGTTCTATGATAAAAAGTAAAACTCAAAACTTTTTAAATGGAACTACCATATGATCCAGCAATTCCAAATCTGGGTATTTATCCAAAGGAAATAAAATCACTATCTTGAAAAGATAGCTACACCCTCATGTTCATTACATCACTATTTACAAAAGCCAAGACATGGAAACAATCTAAATGTTCACTAATGGATAAATGGATAAAGAAAATATGGTATATACAGACGGTCCCCAACTTATGATGGCTCAACTCAAGATTTTTCATTTTTACAATGGTGCAAAAGCAATATGCATTCTGCAGAAAACACACTTTGACTTTGGAATTTGGATCTTCTCCCAGGTTAGCAATATGCAGTGCAGTCCTCCTTTGTGATGCTGAGCAGTGGCAGCAAGCCTCAGCTCCCAGGAAGCCACGCCATCACAAGGGTGAACAACCCTACTCTTACATCCATTCTGCACCCATACAACCATTCTGTTTCTCACTGTCTGTACAGTACTCAATGAACTACCTAAGACTGTCAACACTTTATTACAAAAACAGGCTTTGTAGTAGATGATTTGCCCACCTTTAGGCTATGTAAGTTTAAGGTAGGCTAGGCTAAGCTATGATGTTCTATAAGTAAAGTGTATTAAATGCATTCTCAAATATGATATTTCAACTTATGATGGGTTTATTGGGACCTAACTCCATTGTAAGTTGAGAAAGATCTGTATGTACAATGGGATATTGTCCTGCCATGAAAAATGAAATCCTTCCATTTGCAACAACATGGATCAAGCTTAGCATTGTGCTAAGTGAAATAAATCAGACAAAGAAAGGCAAATACTGTATGATGTCACTTATATGTGGAATCTGAAATAACTGAACTGCTAGAAACAGAGAACAGATTGGTCATTGCCAGAGGTGGAGGCTAGCAGTGGGCAAAAGGAAGAAAAGTGATCAAAAGGTACAAATTTCCAGTTTTAAGATAAACAAGTCCGGGGAGGGGGGTGGTAATGAACAGCATGGTGACTATAGTTAAGAATACTGTATTGATTATTTGAAAGTCTCATCTATGATGAGAATAGATCTTCAGTGTTCTCATCACAAGAAAATAAATAGTAACTATGTGAGGCAATAGATGTTAACTAAACTTATTATGGCAATTATCTTGCAATATATACATACCAAATCATTGGGTTGTACACTTTAAGACAATGTTGTATGCTAATTATATCTCAATAAAACTGGGGAGGGAGTAAAGATAAAATTTGTATTAAAAATTGGAATAACATTGTAGCAACAGTTTTGTATCCAGTTTTTTTTTCACTAAACTTTATATTGTCTGAAATTTTTCATATTACCTAATAATTTCTAAAGTCTGCTTTATTGTGACAGACACAGTGGATTGGCTACTCAATAGCCATTTTGCTAGATGATACCCTACTCTCTTAACTTCCTTGTTTAAAAGTTGAGAATACAAAAACACCAATTCAAAAGAATGCATGCACCCCTCTGTTTACTGCAGCATTATTTACAAGTTGAACTTATAGAAGCAGCCCAACTGTCCATCGATTGACGAATGTATAAAGAAAATGTGATACACACACACACACACACACACACACACACACACACACACACACACTGGAATACTATCCAGCCATCAAAAAGAATTAAATCTTGACATTTGCAATGACATGGATGGAGCTAGAGAGTATAATGCTAAGTGAAGTAAGTCAGAGAAAAACAAATACCATATGATCTCACTCATGTGGAATTTAAGAAACAAAACAAATCAGCAAAGCGGGGGCGGGGGGCGGCACGGGGACAGAGAGAAACAAACCAAGAAACAGACTCTTAATTATAGAGAACAAACTGATGGTTGCCAGAGGGCAGGTGGGTGGGGAGATGGGCAAAATAGGTGATGATTTTTTAAGTTTATTTATTTATTTTGAGAGAGAGAAAGAGAGGGGGAGGGGCATATGGGAGGGGCAGAGAGGTGGGTGGGGTGGGAGAATCCCAACCAGGCTGTGCACTGCCAACACAGCCAACACTGCCAGCACAGAGCCCCACGCGGGGCTTGAACTCACAAACCATGAGATCAAGACCAGAACCAAAATCAAGAGCTGGACGCTTAACCAACTGAGCCACCCAGGCGCCCTGGCAATAATTGTTTTTTAATAAAAAAGAAAGGGGGGGAACCCAGGAAACCAAAAATTCTTACCTTCCCAGACTCCTTAGCATCGGGGCAGAGTGCCGCGGCGGGGGGGTGTTGGGAGCGTCATGTGACACAGTTCTGGCCAATGGATGAAAGTAGAATTCATTGGGTGGGTCTTCTGATAAAGTTCATAAAAAGGGATAGACTTGTTCATGCCTTTGTGCCCTTCCTTCTTTTTTATTTTTATTTTTGTTTTTTTCTGGAATGCTACCTGGAGGTGCAACAACTATCCTGTGGCCATAAGGCTGAAAGCTGGAAACTGGATGGAGTCTGGGTCCTAAATGCTATCCTTGGGCTGCTGCATCAGTCTAGAATTGTCTACTTCTGGACTTACTGTTATTGGCTGATAAATAAATCCTTATCTATTAAAACTACAGTGGTCACCTCTTCAGTTCCTTGCAGCTGAATGCAACCCTGGATGCATAGCATTCTATCATACGAATATATCACAATGTAACATTAAAATTCCCTATTGATTCACTGCTACTAAATAATATTGCCATGAGTATCTCTTAACACATCTTTATATGTGTCTCTGATTATTTACTTTGGCTTTATTTCTAGAAAAGGAATTATTTGTTCAAAGGGCAAGCAGTTTGGGGGATATTTTTGTTTGCTCATTTTGTTTTGTTTTTATCTCTTGATGCATCTTTCAAATGGCCATGCACGCATGTTGTGCCACCAAGACTTCTACCAGCTGCAGGTAAGTCAAGATAACTTACAGACCACTTCCTGAAGCAGGAGCTGAGTCATTCACTGCCCATTAAGGATCACTGTGTCAAGGATGGCTCCAGCAAGGAGGCCTGCTTGTGATCTGAGCCTTGGAAGGGCTGGTTCTGACCGCAGAAGGGCCCACTCCTCCCCCTGCTCCTGCAGCTTCTGCTAAGGCTCCCATCCCCAATGCCTGAAGATTCTAACCCAGAGTCTCTCAATCTCTGAGCACTAATGTTTAGGGATGGATAATTCTTTGTTGTAGGCGTGGTCTTGTACATTGTAGATGTGTAGTAGTATGTCTGGCCTAGATTCTAGTACCGCCTGCTTCCCGTATGACAACCAAAAATATCTCAATAATGTCAATTGCCTCCTGGAGGTACAAAATCAGCCTCAATTGATAACTACTGATCCACCCTATAACCTGTTTGAGGAATAATTTAATTCCAATAGAGAGAATACTCTGGTCCAGTTCAGAATTGGTAGGTTGTATGACCAGAGACAGAAAGGGCCGTAAGTGGTGAGAAGGTTACCTGTCAGGCTGGCATCAAAGAAAGATGGAGCATTGACTGACACCCATAAGTGTGCCTGTGACTAAGAAGCCCCATAAAGCACATGCACAAAACATGGCATGAAAGGAGTCAAGAGTAGTGCTCTGGGGCCTCACAGACATGCAAGGACATTACCTTAGTGACTGATGTGGTTACTGTTGGCTTGTTTAGCATTGGTTTGAATCTTTCAACACCTCCAATATGCTGCCAAAAATTCTTGTGTGTAAAAGTGTACCAGGTTAGGGGCGCCTGGGTGGCGCAGTCGGTTAAGCATCCGACTTCAGCCAGGTCACGATCTCACGGTCCGTGAGTTCCAGCCCCGCGTCGGGCTCTGGGCTGATGGCTCAGAGCCTGGAGCCTGTTTCCGATTCTGTGTCTCCCTCTCTCTCTGCCCCTCCCCCGTTCATGCTCTGTCTCTCTCTGTCCCAAAAATAAATAAACGTTGAAAACAAAAATAAAAAAAATAAAAAAGTGTACCAGGTTGAAAACCACAATTCCAGCTTGAGTTCTGCTGTAATGAGGGGTTATTTTATTCAGAGAACCAACAAACATTGAGGGCCAGCCCAAAAGCAGGCACTGAGCTGGGCAACAGCAGCAAACACCCAACATGATCCTTTCTTTCCCAGAGCCCATGGTCAGTCGAGGAAGTTAGTCTACCAAGCAAGAGATTACAGGAGCAAGACAGATTATCTGGGCTTTGGTTAGCTCATCTGTCAAGAGCAAGAACAGTCCATGGTTATCTAACCTCACAGGGTTGCTGGGTGATCATGAGCAGTTTGTGGAGGTGCCCTGAGGCCTCAGCCAAAGATGCCATGCCTTGAAGAAAAGACAGACCAAGACCCCTGTCTTGGCAGAAAGTGGGAAAAGAGAGAATGTTAGCACAGTTCTCTCCATGAAGCAGAATGAAGCCAAAGCCAGATCTGTCACTGATCTCTGGTGTCGAGGGTGTGACCAGGTGGACTTTGAGTGCCAGGACTTTTCTGTAAACCTGAAGCCTACTGGAGAGAGAAACTATAAACAAAGAGGGAAGCATCATTTATTGAGACAGAAAGTCTAAGTTTTCCTCTCACTAGATCTCTCCTTTCCCCTATGCTGTACCCTAAACCTACCGTTCCTTTTCTACCCTCAGAAGAGGTATGTGTTGCTGGGCAGGAAGCAGACATTGTTTAAAGACAACCCCCCTGAGAGAGCCAAAGCATAAGAGACTGTTGAGAACTGACAGCAAACTGAGGGTTGATGGGGGGGTGGGAGGGAAGAGAGGGTGGGTGATGGGTATTGAGGAGGGCACCTTTTGGGATGAGCACTGGGTGTTGTATGGAAACCAATTTGACAATAAATTTCATATATAAAAAAAAAATAAATAAAGACAACCCCCCTTTCTGTATTTATGGGTTCCTGGTGAATTAAATTTCCTAATTTTTGTTGTGTGTGGCAGAGACCCCAACACTGAAATGGCTTAAACGAGA